GTGTGTGTGTGTGTGTGTGTGTGTGTGTGTGTGTTTGTAGGGGGATAATATCCAAAAGATCCCGAGTTTCTCATTTTGCTGGCTTCCTTGGGAAAAAAGTGTTTGAGGATTGAAAGAAGCTATCTCAAATGCTTTTTTGATACCTTTCAACTGTTGAATTCCACGTTTATTAAAACCTTTGAAAAATGCCACAAAGAAAAAATACGGAAGAAGGAAAGAACGACAGAGAAGACGAAAGACCTATATCTAAGTGTTTTATATTTCCAAAGTTAAGCAGGGGTGAAAAAGCTGTGACTTTAGAGATATTTCTAAATATCTCCCAGCATTCTGGTCAGCAAGGCCCCAGTTGAAGAATCTGAAAAGCTGCTTGGGTCTTGAGTGGTATTGACGATTTTGGATTTGTCATCTTTAGAGTAGATCCATTTAGATTAATGGAAAAAAAAATAACTTACTTTAGTTCCAGCTAGTTTCATTGACGTAATGGCTAAGCCTGGATCCAATTTACTCTCAAGGGGTGCTCATGACTATAGGCAGTCTCAACCAATAGATCATAATTGCAAAGACATAATACATTTCGAACTGTGCTATGCAGAAAAATCTCGTAGTGTGCATGCGCGCGCACACACACATCCTCTCTCATTCTCCCTTTCTGGTCTCTGCATTTCTTATTCTGTGGGGTTAAGTCCAAGCAATACACCACCGGGCTCCTAATTCAAAGCCAGTTCCAAAAAACACCACTGTGAAAATGTTGTTTATCATATTAAGATATATTTTTCATGAGAAGAGAAGAAAAAAAATCATGCCAGATTATGAGCAGAACATAATACAAGCGTCAAGCCCTTGCCAAGAGATCTGCACCAGAGAAAATAACTCTGCAATATTGTCACCTGCGGGCCAATTTATATTGTCAGAAAGCGGATTCTGCATTAGCCTCCAGAGCCAACGCGGTAATGGCATATTGTAGGAATAAAGCAGCAACAGCCTATGGGGACAGCCTCATCTCTTTTTCATAGGCGTGCTTCAAGATCCATTCAGAGCAAAGCATTAATAAAATAAGGAAAAAAAGGGAGGGGAGAAAAAAGAAGAAAAGGACGAGAACACAAAGATGACATATGGGTAGAGCTTATGCCCTTTTATGTTGCAAGACTGAATAAAAGCACCACGAACCTGCTGATGTAGTCAGAGCATAATTAAAAATAAACTCACATGCCAGTTTGAGGACAACAGAAGTGCAGGCGGGGGCTTCTGCTTTTATGAGAAATAAAGGATATTAAGCAAGAGGGGAAGGCTATTAATGGCATCGCAGGGTGGATGTAATGGGCATCCATGCTTAGAGCTGCTCTCTTCTTGCACATTATGTAAAGGACAGGGCAAGAATGACCTTTTATTAATAATGATAAATCGCTTAGTAAAACCACCCAGACTGATATTCAGAAGTTGTTCAACTAAATGTCCAGGGAAAGCAGAAAAGTTAAGATGGTGGCCACAACCATGCAGTTAAAGCATGTAAAGCCGTTGATGCATGTAAAAAAGGGGTGGGGGTTTCAAGCACATGGTTGTGGCTGCCATCTTGACTTTCTTGACCCCATTACTGTCTTACAAAGGACTTATTCTTCTTTCCTCTCTGTCTTTCTAGGTATCTTCTTGGTTTCATTCTTCCCCACCCTCCAACCTCTACCAGTCTTGGAACTAATAAATAAATGCTGATCATTGAAAAACAAAATAAAATAAAGATTTAAAAACACTGCTTTATAAATTGCAAGATAAGTTTGCATAAAGTAAAAAAAGACATTTATGTAATTTCTAATGACACAAAGGCAAAACAGTGCTCGCATATCACAAAGGAGGTACCATAATCTTAAATGTCTTTAAGAACATAATGTTATCTTAATATCTAATCAAAATACTGCGTGATTTGCTATAATTTGATGCCATACACAATTAGATATTTCTTGGCAGGGATAAATAAATCACATTTCAATGCTGATTGGCAGCTATGTGTACTTTTACAATGTTATGAAATAATTACAAGAATAGTCATTTCCATGGTTGTTATAGAGTGAGGGTTATCTATCTCAGGGTTTCTCAGTCTTAGCAACTTTTAGATGTGTGGCCTTCAATACCCAGAAATCCATGGAAATTCTGGGAGTTGAAGTCCATACAGCTTAAAGTTGCTTAAGTTGAGAAACCCTGATCTATCTTTCTTGTCAAGCACATGCATTATAAGAAAAAGGAGGCTCTGGTTTTTGTAGTGTCATCAAACTTGGAGTTTTAGGGTTGTTGGGTCTACCAAATAAGAACTAACAAATTCTAGTTAGGTAAATGAAAAAAAATGAGAATAAGGATCTTTCCAGGATAAGCAAGATGGGTAAAAAATGAGTTCTTCTACTGGGATGTTCTTAGCAAAGAGAGCCCTTTGGGAATTGCTTGGCCTTCATTAAATCTAACAAGATTAAGAAGAATGTAAGAAACATCATGATTCAATGTGATGTTCCTTACAATCTTCTTAATCTTATTAGGACATTGGGAAAACTTCTGTCAACGTTCTGCATTTTGAAAAATTCAGCTCTTAATTCCAGAGACACCTCCGCCCTTTGAAATTGATAGGAATTTTAAAACATTTTTTTTTAAACATGGCACAGGAATTTACTTATTATAAATCAAATTAAAACTTTCTATTGAGAAAGTACAGCCTTTGGACTTGCCTGACAGTACTCTTAGGACATTCATCCAGGATCCAGCCTATACATTGTGAGACATGTCAGATCTATAAATCAGAAAGGTATCAGTTATCTTAGATGGTGCCATTGTAACTTTTGGGATTTTTGCCACTGGAAAAATTGCAACAAACTTTTAATAAAAAAATCATGAGATGAAATTAAATAAGAGGATGACGTTATCAATGGCTGTTCATCATGATGGCCAGGCATTCAGTATTTCTTTGCAAATTTTGGTTCATCTCAAAAAGCTAAACAGGGTTGGAGTTTGGATGAGAAAGACTAGACTAAGACGTGTGCGTGTATGTGTGCATGTATTTGTAGGTGCATGGATGTGCTGAAGGAAGTCACCAAGAACCTAGTGTTCCATGAAAGATTCTACATGTGCTATTAAGTGTGATAATTTTATGGAAGCTTCAGGTTCAGAAGTAGCATACTCCTGAGTATCAGTTGTTGAAAGGAGCAATTATAGAAAAAAGCTAGTGTTTGTAGGCTTCATGAAGACACCTGGCTGGTTCTAAATGAAGCAAGATGCTTTCAGTATGATTAGGAGGGCTAGGTTTCTAATCTCTTCCAAAATAGAAACTTGGAAACTAAAGGCAAATTATGCAGAACGTAATCCAAGGAAGCCTTTGAATCTGAATCCGTGCAACATCCAGGATGTTCTGCTTTTGCATATACTCACCCATTAAACCATATGGTTAAATGAAAGGTCTTCCTGTATTGAAAAGCCTAAAATTCAGCCACAGGAAGAGGAGGAAGAGGAGAAAGAATGCATAAAGAGGCTATGACTCACCAGCCATTTGTTGAATGCCACTAAAGGCGCCCAAGTTACTGGAGGAAGTTGCTTGCTGCAGAAGCTGCAAATTAACAGTAACAACATCAATGGGGTTAATAACTCAACAAGTTAAGATTAAAGCAAAATTATCTGAATCAAATTAAATTTGGGATACTTATAGTTTCCTTTACATTTATACAGTCTCTTGCTTCTGCCTGGTGTTGGAATGAAGGTCCCCAGAGTCGATGCTGTAAATCCATATTAATGTCTAATCTCTATTAAGAAACACACAGACACTGGGGAAACTCAATAACATTGCTGCTTTAAAACAATTAATCAATTTACTCTTTTTAACAACCAGGTGTTAAATCTATTTCAGCCCAACGTAGCATGACTAATCATTGCCCTCTGCAGTCTAGCAGTTAGCATAACTCATCATGGTTAATCACAAGAGTATTTTCCACCTCCCCGTTTAAATGAGAAGCTGGTTTCCTTGAAATGGTTTGTGGGACCAGTTCAGAAGAACACATAACTTCACAATGGGCTGTTCTTTTCCCCAGAGACCAAAGGTGATCTGCAGGTCAAAGCACCATTTTGCAGGCATAGATGTGCCATTGGTAATACAACTGTACAGAACATTCACCTAGGTGCAACCCATTGCTTTTTAATGGAGGCAGTCGGTGTATTCAGTTGCTAATCATCTGTTACTGAGAAATCAGGGGACAGTTGGGCACCTTGGAACCAGCCTTGGTCATACACATAATCTGGTTCACATGTTAGCTAAAGTCTTGGTTTGTTTAACCATGGTTTCCTGGATAACCCACAGTTGATTGGGATCACAACACAGGCTAGGTTATGAACCATCATTTACAAACCACAATGGCTGGTTTCACATAACATGTTAAATCAAAATGAATCAAACCACATCTGGGCTTAGTGTAATGTGTGAATGAAACTTTCTGGTTTGTCAATATTGTAGACAGGTATTTCTAACCTACCCCAGCTCCTGTAGTACATAAAAAGGGCTAGAGAATGAGGGGAAGAACCATTTTTAACTGGATTAATGATTCAAACTCACATAGAATTTGTAGTAACAGAAGTAGCCTTCTACTACAAGATTTCATTATGAATGAGAAGCTAAAATGTATATCAGAAAGGATGAATTCATTTAATTTGATGGTTGTGCTATTTATGAAAATAGGAGTGACATGTTACACTCCAGTGCAGTGTTTCTCAACCTCAGCCACTTTAAGATGTGTGGTCTACAACTCCCAGAATTCCCCAGCCAGCCCTGCTCCAGCAAATGGGGATAAGGGAAGAAACAGGGAACAGCTGTACAATATTCTGAATGAATGAGATCCAGGGGATAAAAAAAAAAAATCTGCTAGGTGACATGAATGAGGTGGGTGGTTACCACCCAAGGGAGCATGGAAGAAATAACTGAGTCAAGTTGGAGACTCAAGAATCAATGAGAATGAAGGTCATCTGTCAAGCCTCTTACACCAGCTCATAATCTAGAACGCAAGATTCTCATATCTTCAGTGTAGGCAGGTATATTGCATTGATCAAGTGCTAGGGACTCTTGGAAACCAGTTATCTGTATCCTGGCTCTCATTTAACAGTTAAGGTGGGGTATCTCTACTGCCCTTGATCTTTTTTCTTATGGAGCCATGGCTTAAGGAGTGGGATGCTGGTTGCTTGTTTGATATGGCCCATTTGTCCACCTGTTCTTCTTCTGCAATATTTTGGAATAAAAATATTTCCATTCTCAATCTGAGAAGGAATTCTCTCATAGTATCTGCTTTAGGAAAAGCTCTGTTTTGAATATGTGGTTGAAGCAGAAATCTATTCATACGTACATATGGAGAAGGAATGAATAAAAACACACGATGGATTTGATCGCTTATGATGAAAGATTGAGTGACTTGGGGAAGGATATAAAGCAAAGAGAGGTTCCAAATGTGAAACAATACTATCTGGTAGTGTCATACAATAGAACAGGATCTAATGGAAGTGCAGTGTATGTGAGAATAAATGGTATGTTTAGCGAATGATTCAATATCAAACATGTAATAAGACCTGGATGTTTGAGGGCCACTTAGCTGTTTAATGAATTTATGGATAAATATCTATGGAATACTTATGGTGACATTAGAAACATATTGGCTGCAGACGAGAATGAGTGTGTACCTTTACATACAAATGATGGTGGGCTGGTGGTTAAGAACCCAAATGATTTGTAGTGAATGTTAGATAGACTGTATGATGCAAAGAGGAGCATGGATTTGAATCTGGTAAAAAGTAACATGGATTTGTGTGCTTTGGCAGAATGTTTGCTAAAGCTGGGGACATTAGTGTTAAATAAACAAACAAATAAATAAATTTGAGACTTACAAATGCTGGTAATATTATAATAGGTAGCGTGTGGTCTGTTGTGAAGGATGAAAGCTTGTTGAAAGGAGCAAAAATAGTTGTTGATGGGAATGAACTTCTACCTACACTGTTATATCGAAGTAGCATTAGGCATGTCAGATGAACCATCAAGTATGATGAACGCAGTGGGAATGGTTTAGTTTAGAAGCATGTGCAGTAGAAACAGGAAGAGATGGGATCAAGCATGTCTCGGATGAGAGAACAATGATGTAATTATTCAGTCATACAGAGGATACTATGAGAGAATTCTCAGACTTTGAGAATGGAAATATCTTTATTCCAAAATATTGCAGAAGAAGAACAGGTGGACAAGTGTGCCATATCAAATGAGCAATCAGTATCCCACTCCTTAAGCCATGGCTCCATAAGAAAAAAGATCAAGGGAAGTAGAGATGCCCCACCTTAACTGTTAAATGAGGGCTAGGATACAGATAACTGGTTTCCAAGAGTCTCTAGCACTTGATCACTGCAATATACCTGCCTACACTGCAAAAGAAATGTATGAAGGAAGAGTTTGTGGGTCAAAAGAAAGGGGGGGACTGAAAAAATCATATTTGGGTGGGACTGACAAGATCCTGAAAAAAGGAGGAAGGCGCAGAGTTTCAAGGACCAAAGGCAGCATGGGTACATTGGGGAAGCAGAATGCAAAGGATGGAATGATGTTCATGTAAAATAGATTTAGGGTTCCTTTTCTTTTCCCTTATCTTCTGCTTCCAGTTTCTTTTGCCTGAAAGAAGCTTGCATGTAGATCTGTCTCTGCCCCACAGTGGAGATCAAAGCTTATGCTGAGCTTTGTAAAATGTCTTATTTCAATTGATGTCCAAATGGACACAAAGGTTGATTCCAGTGTTGTTCTCCTGATCCTTCAAACCAAACGGTCATTCTAAGTTGCAAGGCTCATGCAAACCTGGGTTTGAATATAGCAAACTATCACGGTTTGATCAAAACAGGAAGTTAATCATACAGCTTAATACATGAGAGGAAAGGGGAGGAAGGAAGGAGCTGTGAATGTACTTTGGTTGGCTGGAAATCTGAACCAGCTCACCGAGAAAAAAAAAACTTTTTAAACTGATATGCAATGATCAAATTTAAAATAGATGGATTAGATGAATGCATACGATGCCTGTCATGTGTACTGATGCTGCATTCAGAATATATTTATGCAACTTGTCCCCTTTTATCTAAATGCACAGCAGGGAATGCGACAGAGGTGGGGGAAGAGACAAACTACCATATTCCAGATCATTGAGAAATTTAGATAATAATTTTGTTCCTCCAAGGCAGAAGAATGCCACTGAACATTTTCGTATTTATTAAATCCATATATTTATGAACAAGCTATGTCAATCATGATGCAAAGGGGTGTACAATGACTTGAGATCTGGGGAAGTTGAGATCAGGGGGCGGTGTAGAACACATCAGGTTTTCAAGCACAGATCCTGAAATGCTCAGGAACACAGGGGTGGGGGATACATTGAAGGAAAAATTTGTGGGAAGGGAGGGAGAATGCTTCCTGGTTGTCCCTGAGAAATTTCCCTGCACTGTTACTTTTCTTTTCACCAGACGTGCCCATGACTTTGAAGTTAATATGGTGAAAAAGTATCCAAACCATCAGGGAACAAAGAGTTCTTTTGCTTTCTGTATCAGCAAACTACCTTTCTCTCAGTTCTACCTGATCTAGGCAGGGGCCAAGGGAAACCTAACAGAGGTATCCTTTGAACAGGAGATGTTCTTCAGGTCTCAAGGCATCCTTCCGTACCTCCCACTGAATTTAGATTGCAGCTTCCATAATTCCCAGCTGGGAATTCTCGGAGTTGTACTTCCAACACATTTTGACGGTGCATGGTGGTGTGTAAGTTGGCCTGGCTGTGGAGGTCCTTTCACCAGGGATCAAAAGTTGAATATGTCTTCTTTTGCAGGGAAGCAATGTGTTTGCACCCATGCCTTTGCACGTTGGGTGAACCATGTAAAGCTGTATGATGGCTTATTTGTTTGGCTGTCACGTGTTATGTGAATGCAGGAATTGTGATTTGTTAATCTGGGTTTCAGATATAGCACATTTAGTGAATCCAACCACTCCGTTTTACAAGAAAATACATGTGGGTTGCAAATCTCTGGGGAAAAGATTAAAAAACATATGGCCTGGCCACTAGGTTGGCAAAAGTGAAATGGCAACTGTTGCTTTGGATAATTTAGTTCTGGCCAAACAGCATTAATTATATTGTTTAATACCTGCTTCTTACACTTCATTTGATAAAAAGATATCTACTATGTATTATCATGTTAAACCATCTGTGGAACAGAAACTTATCTGCCAAACAATGGTTGTCTTCACACAATACACTTAACCTGGTTATTAAGTTACCCATTTTGTGGATTTGTGCAATGCAGTCAATCCTAAATTAACCAAATAGGCTGGACTTATCATTTATTAAGATGTGCACGTGCACATATGTGTGCACACACAGACACACACACACAAAGTGAGTAAACAAACCAACCTTAGGTTGTTGTGTGAATGTAGCCAGTTAATCTTCAGCCAACTTGGTTAAGTGTGTTGTGTGAACACAACTAAAATATATTCCAAACAAATACAAATATACCAGCCACTGAATATCTCCATATTACAAAAAGAGAACAAACTGAATTTTCATTTACATCTTTCTTACATTTTCTTACCAAACCCAAAGACACTTTTGATAATCTAAGATAGAGATTATATACTTCTTTTATATAATGCAAAAAGGACTTTGGCATAATAGCCTAGATTAAGCTATAATGAGATTGGGTGGTTAGTGGTTTAGTGTGTGCTAAAGGTCCTGCCATTGACTTCACATGTTGGGTGAACTAGGCTATCATATGAAGCCAGGATATAATTTATTTTTCTCAGCATACATGAACATTAGTGTTTTGCTAGTTAAGGTACTGAGAATAAAGTGTTGTGTGAACACATTTGGGGTACAAAACTATCCTAATTTATTTCATAAAAAATGTTGCCTGTATTTATCCAACACTGTTAACCAAGTAAGTAATAACCCTAGTGGTTATATTCACATGATGTGCGACACTTGCTTTGTGCTAATTTTATATGTTGTGTGAATGCCAACCATTATTTAATTATTCCTTGTATTTCTAACCTGCATTTTCTCGGACAGCTCAAGATTTGGTTCCTTGACATAGAAACATGTAGTGCACAGCCAGAAAATGAGGGGGGGGGGCAAATGATGACTTGTGCATGACCATATCATCTCTAAAATGCCACAAGTGAAGTACTGTTCTTGTGTCAGATGCCAGTGTGTAATGGTGGCATTTGTGTGATGTTGCTTTGGCATCATGGCAGTTTTTTACAGATGCTGCTGAACCAGAGGAAGCATGTTGTGTGAACATAGCCATGTTTATGGAGTGGACAAATCTCAAAAAGAAAAGTAGAATGGTATGAGAATGTGTGAAGTGCATAGGGCTTCCAACAAATGCTTCTAGATCTGGATTCCAAAAACTAGAGAGAACTGATGGCTTAATCATGAACTCCTTAATAACATCTGTACAGGTCTACTTAGAAGTCAATAGACTTTACAGTCTTACAGTCTTAATCATGAACTCCTTAATAACATCTGTACAGGCCTATTAAAGTCAATAGACTTTACTTCTGGGTAACAGGAGGTACAGACTGCAGTCCCACATATTTACACTTCAGCTGTGTTCTTCATACTATATGCTTGACCTGGTTACTGAATTATCCCATTTTCCAATTTCACATTATACATTATACAGTGAATAAACCCACTGCTTTCATTCAACACTCTATGCCATGAACAAGCAAGCAAGCAAGTCAGGCATTAACCAGGCTGAGCATGTTCGAATGCAGCTTCTAAGGTTTGAAACTGGGCTGGCTAAGCAGGTTGTGCGTAGACAATCTTTATCTGAAGGGCAGAGATTCAACTTTCAGTGATATGTGTCCTTAAAGTATCTTAAACCATCAAAGGAGATAAATATACACAATTCAGTCCTAAGAAAAAGACAAAAATGTAGACTTCATATCAATGTCTAAAACATTTCCAGTGGACTGGGGTAAAGCTCAGAGCTGGAGTTAGATATGCAGACATCTCTATCTGCATGCTTGCAGGGACATCCTCTCAGAATCCAATCATTCACCCAGAAACGTCATCTATTCAAATGTGACAGCATCAGTTGGAGGAAATTTCACTGCAACCTTTGTCTTAGCCTCAGATATTCTCATGCTTCCCTTGCAGGACAATTTAATGCAATGAGTTCATTTCCATAACCCTTTAATGAAAGAGATGTTCCATGCGTTATTTAAACTATACCCTCTTAACCCAGCATGGCAAGTTTGCTTTGAAAATGATTGTAAACAAATGTGATGATTACTTACAGCCAGGTACTGTGGGGTAAATCCTCCAAGGCCAGTAAGGTTTCCCCAAGTGGCAGTATTGAGCTGTTGCATTTGTTGTGCCAATTGCTGTTGTAAACGTCTTTGCTCTTTGTCCTTTTGGGTATCAGCAAACTTCACGACAATTGGTGAAGAACAGCCCTGTGATTGGACAGATTGGTGGGGAAAAAGGTCTATCACACATTTCCAGCTAGGTGGCAGCACCTAGCTGACCTTGGCTGATCTCAGACAGCTACGTTGAGTCAGACCTGGTTAGTACTTAAGATAGGAGGCCACAAGGTGTTGACTAGCAGGGTTGACTTGCCTGGGAAGTCAAAAATAGAAAAATGTCCTGGGAGACCACGTCTGTACTGTCGTCAAGAAAACTTCATGAATGTGTTCAAGTAGTAATCAGGAACCGAACTTGATTGGTGGGAGTATTTACCATGTGATTGAAGAGACAGTGGTTTGACTTTTGGCCCCCTCATTTAATTTGGTTTGGGTCCCCATAGCTTCTATTTCAATCGGAAAGAAAATTTCCACTCACAAGCATTATTAAATACAGGGGGAACATGGTCCTTCAGCCACCTTTGGCTGGTAAGTAAGGTCAGATTGGTTAGTGTTGGATGGGATAAATGAGCAGGCATCAAGTTTGACTCAGATGAGATATCAGAGTATTTCTCATACATCTGCATGAGTCTTTTCCTGAGATCTTTTTTCAAGACGTTCCATAATCTTGTAACTGATTATAGGACTCATGTAGGGATATGCAAAGACTTAAGAAACTCAAGGGGCTCTGCAAGGGGGACCAAACAGTCAAAATGGTACCTTGACTTTTTTGGCCCCCACCCCTGCCTGTTGCAAACACTCCTGGTTAGTATGATGTCTAACATTTGATATCATCTAATTGCTCAGGAAATTCCCCTCATCCCCGCAACGTATTCCATGTTTACCATCTCTTCTTGCACATCCCCCAAATCTGCTCCAGAGACTGAGATAATCTTCAAAGCAGATCAAAAAGAAGATAGGATGGTGAGTAAAGAGGGTCACACTGCATGCCAATTTCTGCATAAAAATCCGTTGGGGCAACATTGGAGCTGAGAAACAGATCCATTCATTTGGCATTGGTCTCTCTTAATGTTAAAAAAGAATTTGTCTTGGTTGTTTTGGCTTTGAGTAATGAGGAAGGAAGAAAGGATGGAAGAAAGAAAGGAAAGAAGGAAGGAAGTAGATTCCTCCTTTTTTTCCACATTTCTCCACATTTTCCATGTTTGAATATTAAATATACCTTTATGCTAATCGTATTTTTACATTCTAATTAGACTTGAGAAGCAGGAATGCCCTGATTTGTTATAGTCAGAGAAAGAAGTCAAAATCAAAACTTGGTTTATCAACTTGTCTTCTTCCTAACCTGAATATGGTCTAAGCAGAGTTCTTCCAGGTCAGATGTAACAGAAAACTCTAGACAGTTAAACATTAGAAGCAGGCAAGGAACTGTAACAGGAGAAATGGGGAAGGATCATCCAAGCCTAACACCCTGTGCTTAGTTTTGTAACCCATAAACTGTTGCTCAGTGAATTTTGGAAACTGCCATAAGATAATATAGGAATTTTTCTCTCCTTCTTTGGTTGTTTACATGCAAAGTTTTATCTTTAAACTTATCATTCCATCATTTTAAAATAAATTAAGTGTATAGTCCTATGAAATTTTACTTGGAGATTATATATATATATATATATATATATAT